GCCCCCCGCCAACAGGCTAAAACATCTTCAACCAGAGCTTAGAAGCAGGTTAATTTATATGGAGAAACAGCGTAAGTTTTACATTCAGGAAACAAATCCTGGACATAGTTCTGTTGTGAATTTCTCATGCAGAGTATTTTGAACGACAAGAAGTTAAGTGGCATGAGGTGATGACACTGCTGCAGGAAAAAACATGTTTGGCTGGGTTGCAGTAAAAACCCCTAACAAGCCTTCCTCTTCCAGCTACAACCTCTTACGTTACTTTTGGCTGATGCCCATGGAAAGCCTGTCCAAAGAGTGATGGGATACGGCCTAACATGTATCATGTCTTCAGCTAGGAAGAGAAGAAATTGATACTAAAGTGACTTTTAAGCTTGGTAGGGTGGAAAGCGAATCATAAAATATAGCACTCGTCAAAAAATGAGATAATCCTCCACTGGCAAAGGTGAGCTGGAAGATCCCATAGTAGCACTTCTGCGTTCCCGGGTATACGGTAGTCTCTTGGCAAGGAACTCCCAACTGCACAGCAAAATTAGTAGGTATAAAACAGCAATACCAAATTTGCACACAAATATTTGCATTCAATATGGGAAAGCAGCTAAAATTCACAGAAACTCAGAGAGATCACAGCCTGTATCAAAACCAACATATGCTTTGTTGCTCTTTAACTACAGATAGCAGTAACATTCAGGCGCCATGTTCTCTGCTTTTGGTGGAACACAGAAGAAATGGAACAAGTTTCTGAAGACCTCACGTGGAAAAGGTGGCATACTAAAAGCGTCCATAAGCACAGTTTATTTATTAGACATGATCCAACCAGAAACACCAAAGATCCACACTTCTGAATAAAAATTATCTTTCCCGTATTTGCTGAGATTTTAGTCTTCTGGCAGTCAGTTTTACCAGCTCTCCAGTCTTTCAGCAAAGACTTGATTAAAAAGCCAGTGCTCCTAGCATTAAGAACTAGGATAAATGTATAAATCTTGAGATTAAGTCATAAAACCCCCTTTACATCATAAAGGGGGGGAGAAGGGGAAAAAAAGGTCACAAGTATCCACCCACTTCTTTGTACATTACCTACACATTTTCCATTTCAAAATACTGCAGTACACTTACCCTTGAATGTGAAAGTTAAACTGATTACAAGTAAGAGCACCTGTTTTACGCTTTCTTCTTCCCCAAAATAAAATACCACAAATTTGCACTGTGCTTTGTATTTTTGCTTTTATGTCCCACTGAACTCATCATTGAATGTACACGTTGAAAGAAAATGAACTACCTCCTTCGAAAGGAAAGTGTTACTACAGATACACTGCTTTATAAGAGACAGGACAAGGGGTGCCCTGTGCTGACAGTAGCATGGCTCTCTTGGTATTGTATAGAGTAGGGTTATACACAATCCAACTCATAGCCACCTCCACCATGAACTTCAAAACACAAGTTGCTACTCAAGATACATGGGTATGTTACAAGTTCAGAAAAATCTCACATTTCAATACAGTGTTGAGTATACTCTTCCCCTTCTGGCAAGCAGCATGTTTATGGCAGACCTGAGTATGGGAATTATTTCACACCCTTACATACTTAGGGAAGATATAGGCCAGATGACAGAAAATACTCTGAAACAGCACAGAATTGGCAATCTCAATATATTTACAGGCAAAGAAGCACATCACACTGTAATTTAAGTTATTGCTTCTTGTGGACAAGCGTGGTATTCCTTGATCGAGACACAGGAGTCGTTTGGTGTTTATTTTCCCCTTCTGAAGCAGAATGATTCAGGACGACTGCGATGATGTTTTTAAAATGAAGGTGTTGCCTATGACTAGAGCTACATCTACAGCATGGTCATCGCCAACTGACCAGCACAGCTGGTGATAGAAAGCTTACATAGGTGAATTTCCACAGGCGTTTTCAAACCCAAGGATCGCTCTCATGCTTCCAGGGTCATTCTAGGCTTGGTCTGTACTACAGGTTTTGATACAAGAAAACCTCCCGCAGCCTTTCAGAAGAGATTTATGGATACCAAGAATGCCAAACTAGGATCTAAGGCTGACCTCGTATCAGTTCCTCAGATAATCCAAGGTATTGCTGCTCTACTGTGCTGATGGAAGCAGCAACGGACTCCTGCCTGCAAAACCACGCATCAGTGCAACTGCTAGTGGCATGCTTTTCAAATGCTGGTCCTAAATGCAGGACAGCAGTGATAACTGCTGGGTCTTTGAACAAGCTACTTGCATCTGAACACAGAAACTTAAGGTTTTGGAAAAAAACCAAAACAGTAAATGGACTAGAAATACAAACTACCAAAACTGAGCCTAAGTTGTAAACAGACTTATGTCTATAATCTTTACCTACTTAATCCCCAAGCCAAAGACTATCTATGACCTTGGAGCACAGGACACCAAAACACTTACCTACCCCCTTTACATTATTACAGGTGAGTTTCTGTAGGCATGAAGCCAACAGTAAACATTAAATCAACGCAAATGCAAAAGCTTTGCTTTCAGAAGATAGCAGGAATTTAAATTATTGCAAAAGTGGGCCTGCAGGCAACACCGCTATTTGAGTATTACAGGCGCTGTAATTCTTCATCCCCTCCCTCCCCCCCATGATAATACAAGGCAACACAAATATTCTTGGCTAAAAAGGAATCTGTACAGGGAACAACTGTACATTTGATGTGACTACAGAATTGGAAGTGTGACAAAATGGTTCTGCTCCCACTAAAAAAGAGAATACAACAGGGCCCCATAGTTACAGGTTCAGCTGAAACCAGCGATGCAAGCCCAAAAATGCAGAAACTGCACCAGCGATTATCTAGTTTGGACTCCTTTAGATTTGCAGCATAACAAAGGCATTTTACAGAGCAACATTCAGGAGAAAATGTTACCCAGGCAAGAATTGCTCTGCAAGCAAGATAGGAGAGTTTAGCAACGTGCACTGTGCTTGTTCTCCAGATAGCAGCAATTGCACCTGTTCTTTGCCCTTTTTGATATGAATCACAGTAGCAACAGAGAGAAATACATACTTAAACAAAAAAAGCAAAGCAGAATTATGTATGTACAAGAAAAATGTTCGAAGTGCTGTGCAATTTAACTATTGAAACACACTAAAAATGCTGTTGCTAATAAATATTCATACTCTTCCCTGTACTGTGAAATTCAGAAACTGCTACAATTAATTCTTGATATAAAAAGTATGCTAAGCCCTGATACCTGTTCCAGTTTATTGTCTTTTTTTCCTTCTGCCCCCCCCCCCCCCTTTTTTTTTTTAAACTGTGATACTTTATGGGAACTAATACTTATCCACAGTTTTACTTGGTGTACCCTTACAGAGATATCCTGTGTTTCTTGGAGCCCTGGTTAGACCAATATAATACAGTAAATAATAAATTAAACAAATGCAGGTGCATTTTTTAAAAATGCAAACCATACTGTCAAACGCTGGTCTCCACACAAAGAGACCAAGGATTTAGATGCAAAGTACTACAGATCCTGCCATCAAAAAAACATTCAAACAAGGAAACAAAAACTTGCGCGTAAGTGTTTTAAAAATTAAACACAAATCCCACCTTGATGTTATCTAACCCATGCCTGTCAAAAGCCCTCTTGCTGTGCCCACATTTGCAGTTATTCATTTACACCTCAGGAGGCAGCCTGGAGATGAGAGTAGTACAATAAAATAATTACCTGAAACATTTTTAAAAAAATACCCGTTAAACAAATTACCTTAACTGGCAGCACTTAAAATTGGTAATTCTTTTTTTTTTTTCCTATTTAAAAAAAAGTTGCATAGCTGTAAGATTTTGCTTTGCTGCATTTTTTTTTTGTTGTTTTTACTCACAAGCAGTAGAAGAGAAGTTTTAGTTACTTAAATAGCAATACAATGTGCAGATTTCAACAATCCCTATAGCTTGATCAATATAAATTAGTTACCTGTCTTGGTTTTACTCTTTGGACTGCATTGTGACAAAGGTTCAGTTACAAAATTTTGAAATATAGTATTCCTATGCAGAGAAGTTTATGTTTTCTGTTCTTGAAAAAAGTGAAGAACGTAAAACAGGGTGTGAATTCAGTAAATTAAGGTCACACTGTTAGATTATATTTAGTTTGCCATTAACTCTTCTTCAGCCAACAAGAAGGTGAAAACGTTCCCACTCAAACCGGGGGCCATCCTTCTGCTAGGGTCTCGGAGAGCACGTATCGAACGTCTCCGCTTCCACTTGAGGCAGTAGGAAACATGTCCAGTAACCCGCTTCTTCACAGAACCAGAAGTTAGGCTGAAATTAGGAACTTTGGCCTTCCATACAAAATAGTGTCAGTAATGTCTGTGGGGAGTCGATTGTTACAGAATGTGCAGCATTTTCAAAATCCCTGTGTGTCCTTTGCATGAGTGTTTGGTATACTGAGCACTACTGGCAAGTAACTGGTGTCTGCAATGCTTTTTCCATGTCACTGTCCATCTTTGCCTTTTTCAGCCACAAAGAACTGGAAGTCTCAAGCCAGGCACACTGTGTTCTGCAAGGGAACCTCGCATCTCCAATGGTTTCTGATCAGTGGAAGCAGCTGTTGAAAAAGCAGAAGACAAAAGTACCATTATTTCAGCTATTTCAGTATATAGCACACTCAAACAGCATGAGCGCAACCACCACGTTTTCCTTCCCCTTTTCCCTAAGCCCCAGTTATCACCATCTCTGCTGTGGAAAAAAAAGCAACTTGGATTTAACATGAGGTTAGACACCTATGAGCATGTACAGAGAGAAATGTGTTCATAAACAGCATGTGGGCTTCTTTCACAATTCAGTTGTTGGGGGCAGTACAGGAAATGTGTTTGTTTATTAATTTCAGCTAACACTGCCCTGAGGTTAAAACAATTATCCCTGTAGTGGGATACCTTCCTTCAGGTTTTCTCTGCTACCCCTGCAACAACCACAGCACTGCAATGTGACCTGCAACACAGACTCATGAAGCAAGATAAAACAAATGAACAAATAAAAGCGAATTATGAAGTTTTCAGATTATTATTATTTTTTAATTTCCATCAGAACAACAAAACCAAACCCTCGGCCACCAGCCAGAATTTCAGATATCTCCATTTCTCTAAGAATTGTGATGATTGTTGGTGTGTTTTGCAATGCTTAGGGACAGCAGTTTAATGCAAGATAAAGTTTTCTAACTAGTCAACTAAAAGAATACACCTGTGCTTTAAACCTGTGACACTGACTGCAGATCTGAAATCATTAACACAAAACATAGGCTGGAAAAATGTGAACCTCTGTGAGATGGGATGGATAGAACATGTTAACGTTTTTTATTTATTTATATATTTTGAACATTCTGGAATGCATTAACATGAAAGTCGTTTTGAAAATACCCAGTTTCTACTTTTTCATATGACTCCAAAAGCTTTCCGTCAGAAATAAATGCCAGTACTCATGGAACGATCCAAAATTACACAATTGTATTATTTTAATTTTGTTTCATTTCCATGGGAAAAAATGCTCTTTAGAAGTTAATGTCAAAACTTTATTGGCACTGACTTGCCACTTTCCAGTACTAAAACTGGAATACATAATTTCAGACCATGCCATATAAGGATGCAGAAACCTTTTACATATTGCAATATACGTCAATACTTACTGATTAATATTGCAGTTCTGAGACACAGTAGCAAATTCACAAACTAAAAAAATAGCATAAATAGTTATTTCAGATAATAAAGATATTTATTGTTGAAATGTATGCATCTAAAAAGTATTACCTGAAAACATGAATCTCGTCTTAATCTGATGGATGCTCAGGGCAAGATCTATTTACTTCAAACCACTCATCTATGCAGCTGTTGGATGCAAGACAAAAATCAAAACAATAGACATGAATATCTCAGTAACATTTAGCAGTAAGAGATGAACGTAAGTTGGTTTCTCATAGTTTCAATGACTAGTAGGATTTTCTATTATACAAAGTATATGTATATACACACACATCATTGGAAAATTTAATAACCCCAAACCACAGCAATATTTGGATATCAAACACTGTTGAAAAACTAAATTTCCTAAGTGTTAAAATTTTCTAAGGAAGCATTTGACAAGTTACTACCCAGGTTTTATACACAGGATACTTCACTACTAACCCTATCATCTTGCATATATCATTCATTGACATTTTACTTCCTGTAGTTACAGACACTTGTGAAAACAAGTATGAAACAGCTTTAAAAAGTGTTCCCCCCTCTCCCCCCCAAGTCTGTTAGCATTTGACAAAACTTAAGTACACACAACCTAAGCTCCCTAGCCATGATGTGCACTCCTTCCCCATACAGGTGATTTTGCCTTATTTTTCCTGTGGGCTTTTCATGCAAGCATGAGAAGACTATAGTAGGGAAAACTGACTTCAAATACATTGGTGGAGATGCAGAAAGATGTCATGTTAAAAAACATCTTTAGGGTTGCTGCTGTTGTTTCTTTGTTGTTTGTTTGTTTTTTAAACGTAAAAAGAGACTAAGTTTTAGTGCTCCTTTAAGCATCCCTCAGAGGAGTTACCCAATAAATGCAATCTTTTGGAATTTTATATGCATCCTGAGGAATACTTGCCCTTTATGATATATGCAGAGGCAAGGCAGCCGTGCTATAGTATCTCCTTGCTGCAGCTCTTCCAGGCATATTGCACACTCCCCAGCATCTTTACTCAGCACATCCTCTGAAGAAAGAGCACAAAGTTAAACAGTTAAAAAGCAGACTACTACAAGCAAAATGTTCTTTATTCAGAACATCAAGGCCAGCTACAAAAGACACTTCTCGTCCTGCAGAAAGCCATGTCAAGGTGAGAATCAGTCACACTTACACCAGCTGACTGAAGATTCCTGATGGGAGACATTTTAACAGCTCAAATTAAAATATGGTTATGATTCAGTTTCTTGCCTAAACACAGCTGTAGCTCAAAATAAAGTCCCGTAGAAAGACACCCATATGGAGAAGAAGGGTAGCCACAACCAACAGCTGGTACCCTCTGGAGTTTATATTCTCTCAGCAGATCCATGCCCCACCACACAGGCGGCTCTGATCTGACCTCGGAAACCTGTGCTCTGAACCACGCAGCCGCAGCAGACACACGCTGTGCTGCTGACCACAAGAGCTAAGCATGGAGAAGTAGGGGTCTTCATACAGATGGTGCGTAATGCCTCCATTTTTTGAGGGATTTGGCTTTGAGGATTCATGCTGAGTGGGTTTTTCCTAGCTGTACCTTCTTCCCCATGCTTGGTTTTCACTATGGAGGTTAAATCCAAGCCTGAACATTACATTTCTCTGGACAGGACACTGCAGGTAATTAACTAGGTAAAGATCTGCTTAAATTCTCAACACTTAGCCTATCATTTGCTTTTTCTACTCTCCTACTCATCTCTCTTCTGTACGTCTGGCTTGCTTTCACCAGCCTTTCTGGTACTCGTATTTCACACCTTCAACCTCCTCTTCTCACCACGTCAGCATGTCCTACCCATCCCATCCACCTTTACCTCAATGTAAAGTATGCAACTGTTAGCAATAGGAGTGGGAGTTTTCCATCAGGGAAAGATCAGTGCTGTGTAGCTCCAATGACCCTAAATTCCTGGATACAGAACTTTTTGCAGCATTACCAAGTCCCATAACAAAGGAGAAGAAAGTAAGTTACTAGGAATGCACAAGAGTTGGCTTTCACACAGAAGTTTCTGGGAAAATATATTATTTTTAATAAAAACCTTCTCTCTTGGACACTTCTCTTAGCCAGAACATGGGATGCAGAATTCAGCCTTAGAACAAAGAAAAACAGGAGATCACGTAAGGCCCCGTTTGCCAGAAGCAGGTTAAAAGTCCCAGTTAGACACGACCTCACACAGTGTACAGAGCATTCCCAACAAGGGACCACGTAGCAACCAAGCTGGCAATCTCTGGCAGATCAGAAAGGTGCACACTTGGCAAAGTAAAGCCCACATGTTCAAATTTCCACAGTTTCATGGGAAAAGCTTCCCCTTCTTAACCAAAAGGAGCATAAAAGAGACTGTATATGGAGAGTACGAGTACGGTTCCCAGGTACGACTGAGAAACCACCAGCTCTACGCTCTTCTCCCCAGTGGCTCCAATACTTATCACTATGGCATTCCAAACACGCAGAAAGTGACAAGCAGACAACTAAAAAGCTATCGTTGCAGCAAAAAGTGAAATGAAATTAGGTCTACCTTGTTTCCCTTAGAATGACAGCAAGCTGTCTTGCAGGTGCTTGGGTTTCTAAAAGAGTGCTCATTTCAGTCTCTGCTATATTCATTGGTTATGCTAAAAATACTATATAATGCCACGTGTGTGGTGTCTTAATGAGGATATGTGAAGAATATCTGACATGAGGTGAATTGTTGCAAAGAAAAATATTCAAAGCAAATTTATAAACAATATACACCTACCACAATGAAGAAAATAAAAAAATGTATGTTACAGATGGTAATATTATTGGTAGGCATTGTTTTAAGAAATCACTTTTGTTGTTCTATCAGAAGCTGTAAGCTTCCAAGAACATTAGAGGTACCTAAGAGAGAAAGCAATTTAAAACAATACAAAAGATCTTAAAGAGCTCTTATCTGTTGTTAAAAAAATCCTGACACTAAGAACTTGCCCAGAAGAGGGTGCTAAGGATAAATACTTCCTTGAGGTGTTTGGGGTTTTTTTCTTTTTTCTTTTTCTTTTTTTTTTTTAAATAAAAACGATACTTTAGTGTCTGACAGGAGGAGGCAAACACTCTCCAGACAGCATTGTCCTGCTACAGAGATACTAATCTTTGCCTGAGGCTCTCAGACACTACCCTTCTAGACTGCCTCTTTACACAAGTACTTTGCCAAAAGTCCTATAAGCATATCTACTCTCTTCCCACACTTAGGTTGCAGGAAGAAGCGCCATTATAATTCAAGCATCTATCATACACACAAAGCATACTTAATAAAAGTCATTTTTTCCATAGAGTCACTTTATCAGATCAGCAGCTGGTACCCAAACAAAATGACACTATAGACATCTCTGGTGAATTAATCCCCAGCCTCACTCCCTCAGCACTCTCAAGAGGGAAGCATTTAGTCAAGTTTTGATAACAAAAATTAAAAAGCTGTCCAATAAAAATAGAATTTATAAAAGAAAACATTCCTGTGAACTGCTTTCACATAATTCTCTATTGTACATGTCTGGCTTATCCTGTGCTCCCCAGACTGTACAACACTTGGGTCCGAACTCCTGCTGAGCAGTTTAACAAGGTTCTGCACCTTTTGGCTAACATTAGGGCAAGATGCCAATTTAAACATTTGTATCTCCCACCAGCCCTGGCATAAGTGTCTGAGACTCCTTCCCTCCAGTACCCCCGTGCTCTCCCCAAATGCCATTAGCCTCCCTCTTGCCAATAACGGCCCTACTGCACAAGTCCCAGACAAACAGCTTGCCGCCTTCCCTGGCTTCAGCCCAGGCTTTCCCACTGGGATGAGCCACCGGGCACGCACCGGGCTTTGCCTCGTCATGCCAGAGGGAGCTGCTGTGAACGCTGACGATAGCTGGCATAGACGGGGCCTCAGAAATGTGGTGGAGTTCTGCCACCCCTGCAGAAGAGATTTTGTTAACAGGTTTCAATGCTGCTCTTCCTCTGAAATAACGAGGAGTCAACATTCCCTACATCTTGTGTTAACCTTCCAAATCCTACCAGGCTCTTGTGCAAGAGAAAAGCATAAGTTCTGAAGGAATAAGTACAAAACACCTAACTGCTATAAATGCTCATGTGCAATTTGGCACTGCACATTAACAGACTCCAAACCCATGTCATTATGCTCATAATTGATTACACAGGTAGAATGATGCCAGCAAAACCAAATCCTTCAAGGACCTACGATACTTTGGGTCTGACTCCCTTTTGACCATTTTAGGTGATTTGGATCATCAACCCCAGATAAAGAAAAAGGAGTGAAAAACCTGTTAGACCTGGACCTGGTCAGAATTTCTTCTGTACTTGATACATACAGCACTCTCCTGTACCAACACTGGCTTATACCAGATGGAAGTCAGTTTAAGGGCCATTTAACACTGACTCTTAAGCATATCTGTTATGGGAAAGTGTGTAAATCATTTCACACAGAACCACTGTAGTGTGAATAATTTTTTTGTTTTCATTATTTTCCTGCAGTAGAGTGATTCAGCAGATACATATTATTCTTTTCTTCCTTACAAAAAAAAAGAAAAAAAAGAGTTTGAGATTTCATCAATGTTATGATTAAAACATTTATATGAGTGTATTACATAAATGGAAGTGGGAAGAGGAAATAAGCAGAGGCCACATTTTTCCATTTCGCCCACATGTGGGTACATACACAAACACTCACCACACCCCCACATCATCTGTCTTGCACCAAATAGGAGGTACACACTCGTCCACCTTCCCAGCGATTTGAACAAGTACTCACTAGCCAAAGACTGGTGTCAGATGAAATCTGGCAAAAGAGCACAGTATTTCCCTCCTGTGTCTGCTCAAGTACTTTTTCCTCCTTTCCTCTATCCTTGGTTAATAATACTAGTTTTAACTTCTGGCTGTCAATAATTTTTCCTCCTGAAATTCTGCTTTTATCTTTACTGAAATATAAATTCTACTCACTCCACTCCTGCATTTATCGCAAAATACGTAGTACTGAATTAAAATACAATCACCCTGGCAATTTTGCACATACTTTACCAATTAAAACCCTTTTCCAGAACTTCTGAAAAAATATACCCAACAACTATCAAAGCCACCAACTCAGCCATGGTTAAAATTACAGGCAATCCCTGAAATAGTCTGAAATTAAATAGTCTGTCTTTAAACAGAGGACTGCAAAAGCATTTGCAATACATACCTTATGGATTAAGTCATTAAAATCTGTGCTACTGCTTTTTGTTTTTCTTTTTGAAACACAGATAGATAGAGCCTTAGGCTCAGGAAACCCCAAGACACAAATCATGGAGACGGCAATAGCATTTGGCGAGATATCACCTTATAGCTGCAGTATTTTATTTCTCTCTAGGCATTCACTGGAAACAGAACACCAAGTTAGAAAGACCTTTGATCTAATCCAGCATGACAATTTTTCAAAATATCTGTATTTTTTATAAAACTTAAAAGCTTAAATGCCTCTGGAAGCTGCTCCCACAGCTAGCTTAACAGTGAAGGATACCACAAAAGTGCACCCTTTCAGGAATACGACTGAAACTTAATCAGAACATAGCTTCTGAACAGTATCTTATCAGCACTAAAATTGATAAAACAAGAGCCATAAGAGGTTAAAAAATATCGATTAAACTGCATTAAATAGTACATATTACCATATATCTGTTACACATTCATTAATTTTTGTTGCTGATTACTAAAAGCTCTCTCGGTTAAGTACTACAGACTGTCTGTGCTTTTTTTTAAATGGAGTACATCAAACTAGACATCTAGAAGCCAACATGTTTCTTCACACATATAGCATGAATTCATCCACATTGCAGAATTTATTCTATGCTTTTACTGATATCACTTTCTGGGGCAATCCAAAGTTTTTCCTTATACTGTTACAAAAACAAGTAGACCAGAAGGACCTGCATGTTCCACAGGTAACTATTTGGTAGATAGCAAGTATGTGTGTATGTGATTAACATACTCTTATTAAACGTCACTGACTTGATTTA